GAACGTTATTTTATGGTTGCAAAAAAATAACCTAAAAATAACCATTATGGAATGTTCTCTACAAGTTATTTTTAGGTTATTTTAAAATAACCACCATGCAACATTCTGGGAACGTTATTTTATGGTTACAAAAAATATAACCTGAAAAGAACGTTCCCCTAACGTTAGTATTTGGTTCCCAAAAAAAGAACCAAATGGGAACCAAAAACTAACGTTAGGGGAACGTTCTGTGTTTGCTGGGTAAGCTATGTAATAACGCATCTAGCTAACTAAAATCTTTGTCCCACTAGCTTTTTGCTGTCTTTTAACCAATTTATTCATATAGCTAGTTAGCTATCTAATAAAGTATTTTTACCTTAAGCTAGTTACTAGCTGTCTAAATGATCTAACTATTTAGCTATCTAGTCAGCTATCTAAAGTATCTAACTATTTACCCATGTAACATCTAGCTCTCTAATAAAGTATATTTGTTTTTTGTTTTTTCGGTAGCTTGCCATCTAATAAATTAGATTGTTAAAGATGTAGCTAGATTGATAGTTTTAATCCATTTAGTTAGCTAACGGTTCATTAAACAATTAACCCTTACGAAAAAGAACCATGGGTTTACTACAAATAAAACCATGATTGCTATAGTTAAACGGTCAAATTTTTCAGATTTATGGTAACCACATATTAACCATGGTTTTCATGCACTAACCATAGTTTAACCATGGTATTTGTAGTAAAACTTTGGTTATACAAATGGTAATCAGTACGCCAAAAAAAAAGGTTACTACACATTTACTACAATAAACCCATGGTTAATTTTCATCAGTAATGCATAAAGGTATCTAATTAATTAGCTTTTTGTCTTGCTAGCTTTCTGTCTAATAAACCTTTAACTGTCTTGCTAGTTAGCTCTCTAATAAAATCATGTTGATCATGCTAGTTAGCTATCTAATAAAGTATTTAATTAGGTAATTACATCCAGCATCTAATATAATTTTTGTGTGTCTGACTAGCTTTCTATCTAGTACGCAATTTATCTAGCTAGTTAGCTAGATAGTTAAATACTTCACTAGAAAGCTATCTAAAAATGTATTTATCCATGGTATCTAATAAAGCATCCTTGTGTCTAGCTAGCTGTCTCCATCTAGCCAGTTAGCATCTAGCTAACGGTTATCTACTGTGGAAAGAAACCTACTAAAAAAAATTCTTTTTTTTTCCCCCTTAACTTCCCTCTCCTCCCCACCTGCCAGTCGGATCTGACTTTCGTGGGCTGCGTGGGCATGCTGGATCCTCCTCGTACAGAAGTAGCCGCTTCCATCAAGCTCTGCCGCCTTGCCGGCATCCGGGTCATCATGATCACCGGTGACAACAAGGGCACGGCTGTGGCCATCTGCAGACGCATCGGCATCTTCTCAGAGGAAGATGACGTCAACCGCATGGCCTTCACCGGCCGTGAATTCGACGACCTTTCCCTTCACGCCCAGCGCGAAGCCGTCATGTCTGCCCGCTGCTTTGCACGTGTCGAGCCTTCACACAAGTCCAAGATTGTGGAGTTCCTGCAGGGCTTTGACGAGATCACTGCCATGGTAGGCAGCCATATGGTGTTAAAGGGATAGTTTCCCCAAAAATAAAAATAGTCAATAAAGTCACCCTCATGTCTTTCCAAACCCGTAAGAACTTCGTTCATCTTCGGAAGACAAATTAAGATATTTCTGATGAAATCCAAGAGTTTTCTGACCCTGCATAGACAGCTACAAAACTACCACGTTCAAGGCCCAGAAAGGTAGTAAGAACATCGTTAAAATAGTCCATGTGACATCAGTGGTTCAACCTGAATTTTTAAGAAGCTATGAGTAAGAAATAAAAAATAATGACTTTATTCAACAGTGTCGAAGTCTGACATGGATGAGAAGAAATTGTTGAATAAAGTCGTTATTTTTGTTTTCTTTGCCCACAAAAATTCTTGTACTTCATTAAATTGCGGTTGAACCACTGATGTTACATGTACCTTTTTACAGATGTCCTTACTACCTTTCTGGGCCTTGAACGTGGCAGTTCTGTTGCTGTCTATGCAGGGTCAGAAAACTCTTGGATTTGATCAAAAATACCTTAAATTTGTGTTCTGAAGATGAACCAAGGTCTTGCGGGTTTGGAACTATATGAGGGTGAGTAATTAATGACAGAATTTTAATTTTTGGACAAACTATCCCTTTAATGGATGCAACACAACTGCGTTTGATTGTCCTGTTTGGCTGAGCGGTTGTGTCTCTGCAGACAGGAGATGGCGTGAACGATGCCCCTGCCCTGAAGAAGGCAGAGATTGGCATCGCCATGGGCTCTGGCACTGCCGTGGCCAAGACAGCCTCGGAGATGGTCCTCGCTGATGACAACTTTTCCACCATTGTGGCTGCCGTTGAGGAAGGCAGAGCTATCTACAACAACATGAAGCAGTTCATCCGCTACCTCATCTCCTCCAACGTGGGCGAGGTCGTCTGGTCAGTCCGGTTGTGGTTTTCAGTTCTGTTTCATTTGGTTTTGTCTGTTACTGATATACTGGACTCCTCTGCAGTATCTTCCTCACTGCTGCGTTGGGTTTCCCTGAGGCCCTGATCCCCGTCCAGCTGCTGTGGGTGAACCTGGTGACTGATGGTCTTCCCGCCACCGCTCTGGGCTTCAACCCTCCTGACCTGGACATCATGAACAAGCCCCCCCGCAACGCCAAGGAGCCGCTCATCTCTGGATGGCTCTTTTTCAGATACTTGGCCATCGGCTGTGAGTCACAAACATGATTAGTGTAGCCTAGTGGCTGTGATTTAAAAAATAATAATAATTAAAAGTTACATTTTTCTAGCTTGTCACCTAATAACGTATCCAGTCTTGCTGGTCTGTTAAGTGTTGTGTTATCTCATGTGTGTTGTGTTTCTCAGGTTATGTGGGTGCTGCGACTGTAGGAGCTGCAGCCTGGTGGTTCATTTCTGCTGATGATGGTCCAATGATCACATTTTACCAGCTGGTATATATCTCGGTTTTTAAATAAATGTCATTTGTGTGACTAAATCTATAGCCCTAAGTCTGATACAATAGCATATACTGTAAATGCTCAGTTTTTCACATCAAAACTAGACTTACGTTACATTTTTGTCATTACTAAAAAAAAAATGGTTTGATATTTAAATTAATTGTTTGACAATTAAACAACTGACCTATCTTTGACAGATTGCAGCTTCTGCTTTTCTGGAATAGAAAAAAAAAGTTCTAAAAGAACAGTTTATATGAAATATATTTTTTCTTTTATTGTAACAATGTAAAAGTCTTAACTGTCTCTTGGGATATTTATATAGCCAGTGCGTGCTGTACCCTGTATCTTTTCATATCAAAGCGCGAATTAAACTACATGCATGAAGTGTCATGGTCAGTTAAGTCATGAAGTTTCTGTGCATGCATTTAATATATTATATATGAGTTACATTAAGAACATGTCTCTGAAATGGTTTTCAAAATTGTTCTGGAGCATCCTAGCACTGTCTCCCTCATCTAACACACCCGATTCAACTCCGCAGTTCATTAGTAGAGACATTAAGACCTGAAGTGGATCAGAAAAGGTAAAGAGAGTTGAGAGAAAATACAATGCGTGTCAGATCCGCGTCACGTTCAGCAGCGGCAGCTCTTAAAGAAATAGCAGCCAAAACAACCTAATAACCAGCTGCTGTGATGTCTGTTGTTAATCAAAGAAAAAAAAAGAAGAAAAAAGAGAAAATCAATAACTTTTATAGTTTTAAAGGGATACTCCACCCCAAAATGAAAATTTTGTCATTAATCACTTACCCCCATGTCGTTCCAAACCCGTAAAAGCTTTGTTCGTCTTCGGAACACAATTTAAGATATTTTGGATGAAAACCGGGAGGCTTGTGACTGTCCCATTGACTGCAAAAGTAAATTACACTGTCAAGGTCCAGAAATGTGTCTCTCCGCATCACCATTGCGCCATTTTGGAGAATATCCGCTGAACGCAAAACTGCGTACGCTATTCTGTGTCAGCCGCGACACAAGGATACGTTTTCTATGTGTATTTATGCTTTGATTTGAACGAAAACAGTGCATCCGTGCTGCGCGGCTGACACAGAATAGCGTGCGCTGCTTGCGTTCAGTGGATACTCTCCAAAATGGTGCTGCGGTGATGCGGAGAGAGGAGACTAATTGTTGAATAAAGTCATTATTTATTTTTGTTTTCTTCGCGTAAAAAAAGTATTCTCGTCACTTCATAACGTTATGGTTGAACCACTGATGGCAGATGGACTATTTTGACGATGTCTTTCATACTTTTCTGGACCTTGAAATAATAAATATAGATTTATTTATATATATTTGAATATCACTTAGTATCTATAAAAATAGAATATAATTAGTTATTATATATTTAAAAAAATATTTTTAATAAAGAAATTTAAATGTAAATAATATTTAATACAGTTTTATTATATGAGAATTGTTGTTGTTAAGTGTAATTTATTCACATAATTATGTAAGTCATATTTATTTTTAATTTTATTATGTTGTTGTTGTAGTAGTAGTAACTAAGCATGTATTGTCTCTTGTCCTCTCAGAGTCATTTCCTGCAGTGTTCTCCTGATAATCCTGACTTCCAGGATCTGGATTGCCACGTGTTCGAGTCTCCCTACCCCATGACCATGGCCCTGTCTGTGCTGGTCACCATCGAGATGTGTAACGCCCTCAACAGGTCAGCCAGCATCCACCTCACATCCAGACTCACGCATGGCAGTGATTAAAAACAAGCGTTGTGTTGGTGTTGAACCCAAGTAAACATGTTTATTTTTGTCCTGCAGTCTGTCAGAGAATCAGTCTCTGCTGCGCATGCCTCCCTGGGAGAACATCTGGCTGCTGGGAGCCATCTGCCTCTCCATGTCTCTGCATTTCCTCATCCTCTATGTAGACCCGCTGCCGGTACGGCACCCTTAACACTACAGATCATTAAGTGCTCTATGAAGATGAGGATGTTAAAAAATAATCTTGGGGCCCATAAAACAAATATATCTGTAATGGAACGTTTATTTCTCCATTACTGCTCCACACAAACTCTGAATGTAGACCCAGTCTGTACTCCAGGTTCACTTTCACATGAATCCAAACATCGAGTTATAATACAATTCTAAATGGTTCAATTAACAGTTTTGTGGACTATTGACAAACTTTCTATTGATTTGAAAACAATTGTCAACTACACGTTACTTATTTTATATATATGTGCGTGTGTGTGCATACCGCATAACAATGATAAAATTATAAAAATTTAAATTAAATAAGTGACAGACATAAGTGACTCATTTAAAAATAACATTCATTTCTGATATACTCATTTTAAAATAACATTAACTTCTGTCACTTATTTAGTATTTATTTGTTTTTGTTTTTATATTTGAATTATACATAGTTTTATTTTTATATTTTTCATATTATTTTTTACTTCTGAATTTGTTATTTTTATTTTATATATAAATGAATAAAAAACGATTTCTTTATGTAAATATATAGGATTTTCACTTAGAAATATCTATATAATAATAATAATAATAATGTTTTTATTACTTATAGATTCGTATAAAAATATAATAATAATATGAATAAAGTACTTTTTACCCAGAGAAATCAATTTAAAATCTTTTTGAAAGTAACTGTGTGGACTAGAGAAGGGGTGATTGTTGCTGGTTACTGTATGATGATTGAAATCGCAAAATGGCCTTAAACAATTAGTAAATGGCAGAATATTCTTTTTTCAAATTCACGCACGAATTGCATGTATTCTGACAGCGCTGCACAAGCTCGCTGCATCAGGGTTCAAAGTCCAAAGCGCGAGGAAAATCTGCGCTGAAACAGTGTTACGTGCGACAAACATCTTCCCAAATACGTAATCATTTATAAATCTGCTGTTGTCAACAAAAAGAAGCACTGAGAAGCAACATGGACTATAATGGCTTGATAAAAACAGAGCTGATTTTGACCGGTTTAAAAAGGTGTTTTTTACACTAACATTGAGAAATTTTAACCAAAGTATGTTATAGACTTTTAATTAAGACCCTAAAGAATCATATCAACTTGAGCATCCGATGACCCCTTTAAGTACTTTTTTTTCTTATTAAAGTTGTATATTTTCTCAGGTCCCCTTATGGCCTTTTTTGAAAGCTTAAAGGGAGGAGATGCAATATTTATCAGATTGCTTTGGATATTTTTGGCTCGAAGCTCTGAGATTTCTTTATAGCCTTTTGAATCCGCTGAGCCAAAAAGAGCGAATGTGCGTTTGGGTTATATTTAGATGTTTTCCACTGTAACGTCAGCCGTGTGGTTTCTGTTTGCTTTCCTCGCTTGAAGCAAAATGATTTCCTCTCTGCGTTAAGTAGATTGCAGCTACCTCAGTTCCGTCGGTTGCTTTCTTAGTACCCGTTTCCTGACTTAATTTTTTTATTTTTGCTCCATAGAAGACTAGCCAAATGCACTAGTTCCCTCATACAAAAACTTTAGCTGTTCACAGTTTTATTTTATTAATGCTTAAGTAAAAAACATGAAACTTGCTTTGCGCAAATTCTCTGAAGATATTTACTTTTTCATGTCCTGGATGTATTTATAGGGACAGCGTAGTGATATAATATTATAGATGAATTATTTTTACTGTAATGTGTATATGTACTGTATATACTAGGTTCTGAGTAAATGAACTGAGCACAAATGATCCCTTTTTTGTATTATAATATCTAGGTTGAATAGTGGGATTAAAATTCTGACATTAATACACATGACCTCTTTGAATCTATAAATGGCACAATTTATTCTCTTGGGGGTCATTTTTTTTCTTCCTTTTTTAGTGTCTTATTTCAGGTGGCCAACAGACATGCATGATTAAATTTGCTGTATTGAAACTAATTTTGTCCTGTGTGCATCAGCGAGTGAGTACCGCTCACAAAATACACCATCACAACCTCGTGTTTGTTTGACTGATGTAATACATTACACACAATTATGTGCGTTTGCTTCTACAGGAACTACATGTAACTCTTTAAAGACGCTTTTAATCATGTCTAACTACAGTTGCACGGCATCACATTTCTGTATGTATACAGTATCTGTCCGTTTTCTTTATTTGTTTGATCAAACGTGTCCTTATTTTTCCATCTCTCTCTCTCTCTCCCTCTCTCCAGCTCGGGATGATTAAGCCGATCCGCTCTCTGTATTCCTTGCAGAAGCTGTGAGGTTTTTGTGACTTTAGTGCATGTTGTTTTCAGCAGCTCCACACATCTTTCTAGGCCTGCATGTCAACTGCTAAAAAACCCAAGCATTTGCCTCATTAGTTTAGAAGCTCAAGCATTAGGAGTGGAAAAAAATGATTTGAGACCCAGTGAACTTTGAAAATACTCTTAAAATGTAACATTACAGCAGTTTTCATGGTGCATGTCCCCTTATGTTAGAAACTTTTGTATAGAACTGCAATATTTGAAAAGAAAAAAAAGATGTCATTAGTGAAAAAAAGCATCATTTTCGCAGATCTTTTGTGAGATATGTAAATTAACCAAAATTGATTGTTCTTGTTGCTTTGCACAGGGATGTGCAATATGTTTTAAAGCAGGTGTTAGGTGTGTGTGTGTGACATTGAGAGACAGGCGGTCTCTTCCAGCAGTTGCCATGGAAATGGAGGGCGGGTGCTGCCGAATCAGTGTTGTAATTATCACAATGACTTGTGGTTAATAAAATGTTACGTGGTTGCTCTGCTCTTTCTTTACCCTGTGACAACACGTGATTTATTTTGTATTAGGATAGGAAAAGAGATATTCTGTTTAGTAACTGAATAGGTCAACATTTTTCATGCCATGATTTTAATTCCAAAACATTTAAAAAATAGTCTTATTTACAATATAGAAACATTAATAGAAGACAAACACTGAAAAAAAAATGCGCTTAGGGCTACAGAAATTAATGACTGCATCGCTTACATGCTCTGTTAAATGTCACAAAACTTAGTCAAGAACATCTGGGTTATATTCAGACGAAACAAAAGCAAATAAAACAAAACACTTTTGCATAATACAAAAATTATTAAAGCAAAAAAAAAAGTAGCACTGCATTATCTTAATCACCACTTTGAATAAATGTAAAATAACATTGCAGTAAAGAAAATGGCTGAAATGTGCTAATGTGAAAAATTCCTAACATGAACACAAAGCATTTTCTTTTTGATTTTGGTGTGAAATATGACTTTGACATGTTTACTACACACAAGATCAGAGAGAGAGAGAAAAAAGATTTTGTGGGATTGTGGTTCATTAAAAGATGCGTCTTTAACAATCATCACTTTTACTGGGAAAAAAAAGCTCAGCGCATGCGAAATAAATGACAGGTTTGACACCTTAATGAAAAAAAGTTGCCTAGTCCTGTATTTGGCCCAAAACAGCAAACTTGAAACCCACGCTGTTTAACTACCGTTAGAAAATACATTAAGAGTGCATCATTTGTGTAATTAGTGCTGAAGCTCAAGAGTCTCTTAGCGAGTGCTGAGGGTCACTGCATGCCGAACCACTGCTCCTGATCGGCCCACTGCGCCGCCTCGCTGTCACTGCCCTCCAGATCTCCCTCCTCCCCGCTGCCCTCCATATCGTCACCGTCCAGCTCCACCGTGGCGTCTGTGGGACTCTCCTCCTTCTCCATCTTCTGCATGCCCTCCAGAGACTTCTGGTCATTCGGATCGAGGCTACAGAAGAGGAATAGAACAGTCAGTTCTGCTCGAATGTTTAAGATTGTACCGTACAGTGTGGATGACGTTACCTTAGCGCTATACTGTACTGGTCCATGGCCTCCTGATAGTCATTAACAGCTACAAGAAAATCCCCCAGCATCCTGTGCAGCACGCAGTCGCTCTGATTGGCTAATGTGTTCCGTAGAAGTGCTATTCCTTCCTCATACTTCTGTTCTCGACCTGTAATGAAAATGATTTAGGCATTACACCAAAATATATGCTTTTGAAGCTTAAGTCAAGAGAATAACAACAATTTGTTTTATTTCATAACTACCTTTCATAACAGTTAATGAACAACAACAAAAATAATAAACAATATAATGAAAATAGAAAAACAAATACATAAAAATAAATTACTACTACTAATAAATAAATAAAATGTATAATAATTATATTATTATTAAAAAAATAAAACAATTTATAATAATAATGATTAATGGAAAAACAAATAAAAATTTGCTACTACTACTACTACTAGCAGTAATTCATAAATAGAAAAAAAATGAAATGTATAATAATTATATCATTTAAAAATAAAATAATAACAAATTATTATTACACATTTTAAATAATAATAAAAATAATAAATAGAAGAATAAATAAGTAATAATAACTAGAAAAGTATAAAATAAGAATATAATTAATAATTAGGAAATAATACAAAAAAAAAATTTAATTACTAAATAAAAATAAATTAGTAATAACATGAAATAGAAAAATAAATAATAACAATAATTTAATAATAATAATTAATTATAATTAAT